TTTTAGATTGTTTTCTTCCATTTATCTTTTCAATTTAAATGCCTTTATGATTGTCTACTGTTGTCGTCATTCTTTGTTAAAAACAGGTCTCTCTTGTAAATGAGTCCTCGGCTCAACAAGACTAACCTGTATAAATAAAGGTTGAATGAAACGTAATGCACATTGTCTTACAATCACTTTAATGTAAAATTTTCTTTTGTTCGTTCATCCAGCTCTCCCACGGCATCACACCGGGAAGGAGAAAGAGGGTCTCACTGGCCAATGGCTCTATAACCAGGAGATGAACTCCAGTTCAGACCAGGAGGAACCAGAACTTCCACAGATAAAAGAGAAGCATGAGGATATAGAACTTCCACAGAAAAAAGAAGAACAGAAGAATACAAAACCTCCACAGACAAACCGAAAAACTCTAGAGATGAAAGAGGAGCAGGAGACTGAAATCTTTATGGTAACTCCAGTTTATAATGAAAGAAACCACAAGGAACTAGAACCGAACAGGTACCAACGGCTTTCTCTGTACTCTTCTGAGTCTGAGAACCAAGTTCAGGAAGGAAGCAGAAAAACAGACTCAGGATTCAGCAGAGATGAAGAGCTGAAACAAAATAAGAGAAGTTCACAAACCAGTAGTCACGGCGACAACCTAGACCACCCAAATGTAAAAAGAAACCCCAAAAAGTGTTTTGTGTGTTTGACTTGTGGGAGAAAATTCTCTGTAAAATATAATTTAACTGCTCACATGAGAACTCACACAGGTGAGAAGCCTTTCTCATGTCAGATCTGTGGAAAAACTTTTGCTTTTAGAAGCGCTTTGAATTCTCATGTGAAATCACACACAGGTGAGAAGCCTTTTACTTGTCAAATCTGTGGAAAAAGTTACTCTGAAAATAACAGCTTTAAATACCACATGAAAACTCACACAGGTGAGAAGTCTTTCACGTGTGAGACCTGTGGAAAAAGTTTTATTCTTGGAAGCGCTTTGAATTCTCACATGAGATCTCACTCTGGTGAAAAGCCTTTCTCATGTGAGACCTGTGGAAAAAGTTACAAGCGAAAAGTTCATTTGAAAGTACACATGAAAAAACACACAGGTGAGAGACCTTTCTCGTGTCAGATCTGTGGAAAAAGTTTTATTTTTAGAAGTGATTTGAATATCCACATGAAAACACACACAGGTGAGAGACCTTTCTCATGTCAGGTCTGTGGAAAGGGTTTTATTGTAAAAGGT